ATCTTTCTTCTATCATTGACAGTCCCTCTAGGTTGTGGGCTGCTTGCCTGTGTTCCTGAGAAGCATCTACGGTACCAGTCTATAGAGTGTGTTTTCTTTAGTGAATTACCGGTATGTTTACCGGTAATAAACTTGCACTGTTTTATGTATATGTTTGATTACATACAGCCTTGTGACAGTTTTCCTGCATGTCATAAGCATTTGAATATAAATTAAAATGTTAAAATCAAATCTGATATTGTTTTACCTTTTATTTGGTGTGTGGAAGGTGTGCGGAAGAGGGGGTAGTCTTATACGGCGAGTATATAACAAACTCTGTATTTTGAGTGGAAATGTTAGGGGGTCGTCTTATACGCCCAGTCGTTTTATACGCTGGCAAATACGGTACATAGATATTTTCATTGGCTGTAAGGTCTTTGTTAAAGTTCTGCCATGGAAGTGCAAAGTAAATGGGTGTGGCTGTGTTGGACCAATCTACCAATCTGGCATCTCGTAAGATCTGGCATACAAGGAGTGGTTTGCTGATCCTTGCATTAAGGCATGAGGTCTAAAGTCCAGAAACTTATTATTCATCTAAATGTGGGGATGAAACTGTTCAGCTGTGTCTCTTGGATCAGAAGACTGAAGTAAAGAAACAAGTTATCTGCCCTCACATAACAACAGTGATGTGACAAGGCCAGAATTTGATAGACTTTCTCATTCAAAGGGAAGAGAAAACAAGAGGCACCTAGCAGTAACTAGTTTGTAACTATTAAGAATTCTAGCAGGAACATTATTTCAGTTCCTTTATTAGGATCCAGTGCTATTCCCTGAGTGATTCTTTATGGCTCCTTTGTTCTAACCTTGAGTTCTTGAAACCACCCCCACCCAATCATTCTTTGTTTTCCATTAAAAAAAAAAAATTGTTTACATGAGTGTTTTTGTCAGCCTCTTTCTTAACCATAGTAACTTGAAAGTCAAAGGTCTTCTTTTTTGAACGGTTTGTATCTTTTTCAGACTGAATTAATACATTTTCTTTTAAAATATTTTGAGTTTCATAGACATCAATTCTATTAGACAAAAACCTTCCCTATTACTTTGGGCTGAATGAGAGGCTCCTATGGGAAAATGTCCTTAAGATTCTTGTTAAAAAACAAGTAAATTTGAAGACTTAATTGGCTTTATTCAGTGATTCATGATTTGGGCAGCATCCTATCTACCCTAGAAAGGAGTTCCCAGATGCTGTATAAAATAGAAGGCTTCTGTAGGCAGAAGGAGACAGGAAAAGGAAGTCTAACGTGGAGTGGGTTGTTTCTGGCAGCTCACCTTCCTTTGGGGGAAAGGCAAGGCTTTGTCATGCAAATTACCTCATTAGTGCTGATCAGGTGATTCCAGATTGGTTAAAGCTCATATTCCTGCAATAGGCTGAAATTGCAATGAGTTTAGATACTAAGTCTTGGTTTGCACAAGTGACTCCATTTTTGGATTATTGTGTCTCTCTTTCTCTCTTTAACAGTCTCAAGATGCTCTATATTCGCTTGAGTGTTGCCTATGAGGGGGAAAGACCTCAACATATGGTTTGATAGCCAGACTTCTGAACTAAACTTTTGACTGAGGCCATATTTTACTGGTGACATTGATTCATCATTGATTTAGGCCATTTGTTAACTTTGGGAATCTTTACTCTCTAATGACACTGAAAATGAGAAATAATTTTATTTTGAACCCAGCAAGACCTGGCTTTATATATTTTTAAAATTATGCTAAAACCTGAACAGTCGTTGCCCCCCCCCCGCCCCCAACACCAAGTCATCTTATTCTTCCCACACTTTATCACAGGCAGCTAAAAAGAAACCAATCATCACTTTAAAATATTCTGCCTGGAACCCTAACTGGTTTGGCCTGTGGACTGAAGGGTCCCAGGTTCGATTCCGGTCAAGGGCATGTACCTTGGTTTTGGGCACATCCCCAGTGGGGAATGTGCAGGAGGCAGCTGATCAATGTTTCTAACTCTATCCCTGTCCCTTCCTCTCTGTAAAAAACCAATAAAATATATTAAAAAAAATTTATTTTAATATTCTGCCTGGAAATCTTCATATCCAGATCCAGGAGTTCATTATTTATCCTTTATGTTTTTCATGTAGCTAAAACGTTGAGTCCTTTTTCTCCTGTCTGCAATAACAATTTCCTTACTGTCTTTTAAGCCATCTCAGAGGCTCCAGGAGATCCTTCAAGCCTCTGCCTGCCACCCAGTCCTCCTCTTAGTGGAATGGGATGGAGGGAGTGATTTGCAGAATCTTTCATCTTCCCTATTGTAGTTTTATTATTTCCTTGAATTGAACTTTAGACAACTATTTCAATGGAAACTTTACAACAAAGATGCATTCCAGAGCCATCATTAATTTGTTGTCATTAATATTTGGGCTGTTAGATGTATTATTTTTTCACCATTAGTTAAGAGATGCATATGTAGTAAATAGTAATAAATACATTGTCTATGTTGTACAGGATATAGTCCATATATATAATAGATGATGAATAATTATTTAACTTGATTTTGAGATAATTTTATTTACAGTGGTAAGATTTTGTGTGGAAATGCTTAATTCACTCTTACTTTTTTAAAGGACCCATCTTTACATTGTACTTGGAAGGTATTTTATATTAATTACTTCTTTGTTCTTTTCCTAGGAGTCTGAATATGTTTCTGCTCATCTTCATGAATGGATAGATCTGATTTTTGGCTATAAACAGAGGGGGCCAGCTGCAGTGGAGGCGCTCAATGTTTTCTATTACTGTAGTTATGAAGGTAAAACCTGTGCACTTTTTCTCTTGTATTATATTGCTAGAAAGTGTAATTTAATATGTGCTTATAACATGATATTTTGGACATAACCATTTAACATGATAAAACTACATTTTAAAAAATAATTTTAAAACTATTTGAAAGATAAGAAATATCCTTTTGTAAAAAATAGTAATTAAAAGTATATATGCAAATCTAATTATAAGTGTCAGGTATTGGTAGCATAAAAGTTTTTGATCTCTGGCAGATATTTCCTATTTAGTCAGATCTTACATTAAATATTTAGTATTAAGTTTTTAGCAGACTTTGAAAAAAAGACCTTTAGAATTATAAATAATAATTCTTTAAATGATAATGATGACATTCTAATGTTTATTAGCTCAGGATCAAGAGATCAACCAAAGGACTTGTATGCATGCATATAAGCCAAACCAATGGACATGGACAACAGGGGGATGAGAACATGAGTGGGGGGGGGCGGTTAATGGGGGAGATAACGACACATTTGTAATACCTTAACTAATAAAGAATTTTTTTTTAAAACGAACATTTTTTGAGGGCTTTGAAAGTCATACTAAGCAGTCCTTTTCTAATCATTCAGTAGAACTAATAGTTCTAAAGATTGTGAATAGTATGAAGTTATATGAATTATAGCAGAGCCCACATGACTTTCTGTAACTAGACAAGCATGTTTTCCTTCTATAAAAATTTGTAGGGAGGCAGTATAGCATGATAGTTAGGAGCATAGAAATCAGACCGACCTAGTTTGGCCAATTACTAGCCATTAACAATTCATGTTAGGTATGGCTGGGAATAATCAGTTAACCATAATGTCACCTTCCCCAGCATTTATTAGATAAGCAGTAATTTATAGCAGCATTTTTGTTAATCCTCAAGGCTATTTTCCCCCCATTTTTTTTAGAGAGTAGAAGGGAGGGAGAGAGAAACATCAGTGCGAGCAACACATCGATTGTTTGCCTCCCACATGCACTCTGACTGAGGCCATGGGTCAAGCTTGCAACCCAGCATGCCCTTGACCAGGAATCGAACCCAAGACCCTTCGGTGCGCAGGCAGATGCTCTAACTACTGAGCAATGCTGGCCATATGGGGCTATACCAATATTTTTGTGTGATTATTACATTTGTTTCATCTTGACTATGATGAGGAAAACAATTCGGTATATTATGAGTATAGTTTGCATTTTTCTTAGAGAAACTTTTATGGATATCTTAAATTTGTTTAAAATATATTTTAGTTCTAAGCAGTGGATAAAATGTATTCTTTTACATATTTAATTTTGATATTTGATGAAAATTTGCTAATCATTCTCTGATATATTATTCAGTTGTGTGGCTTACCAATTTATTTTCACTCAGTAGTGAGTTGATTACTTTTCCTGGTTTTAGGAGCTGTGGATTTAGATGCCTTAACAGATGAGAAGGAAAGAAAAGCCTTAGAAGGGATGATTAATAATTTTGGGCAAACACCTTGTCAACTGTTAAAAGTAAGTCATAAAAGTTATTGATTATATAAAAAGTCTAGAATTTAGTTGCTAAGGAGTATTACTACCAGCATTTTCAAGGATTTTGATGATTTAAAACCCTATATCAAAATTATTTAGAATTAGAGAAAAATATACTGTCCCTTAATAAAAAATAGATTTAAATGATTGTTTCGAGTTTGAAATAACAAAATATTGAAGTCAATCAACATATACAGTCAATTACTCTTAAATCTCCAGAGGGCTTATGTTTATTCAGAAAGCCAATCACTTTATTTTGTTATTTCTGAGAAAAAAAATGATGAGGTTGAAGGCTCCCTGTCAGATGGGATATTACTCTCTCCTTTATTTTATTTATTTTTTTAAATATATTTTTATATTAAAACAGTCCTTATATTGGGACTCATTCTATGTGTAAGACTTTTTATTTTTTTGGTATAGCAAAGGTGGACATTTATTGAAGAACAAGTACAGACTCCCACATGGGGAGGAGGAAGAGTCCCACAGAATGGACTCCCACTTGGATCCTTTCCCTATGGCTTATAAAGGCTTCAGATCCTGGTGCCTGATATCCCCTCCGACTGGTTAATATTCCCCTTTATTTTTTAATAGCTGACATCTGCCCAAAGGGGGCACTTACCAACCCGAGCCCAAACCTAGTCCTGAAACTCAAATTATAGAATATAAAACATATAGAATTAAATTATAAATATTACTATATCTCTTTCCCCATACTAGTATCTGAAGTTAAATTGTCTTTCTGGTTGCATACAGCTTTGGATTCACAGAAGTTAATCCAGTGTTAGTTTTCAAAGATGTTTTGTTCTTTGTTAATATATGAATTTAGAAATGAGGAATACACAATAATATACTTAATTTTTTAAATTTAATTTTAGAGGAAGAGGGAGAGAGAGGAACATTGACGTGAAAGAGAAACATTGATCTGTTGCCTCCCATATGCACCCTGTCCAGGGATTGAGTCCTAGATATGTGCCCTGACCTGGAATCAAACCTACCACCTTCTGGTGTACAGGACGATGCTCCAACCAACAGCCACACGGGCCAGGGTACAATAATATACTATTGATTATGTCTTTTTTTTTTAATGCAAGCACAGTGCTATGTGGTTTACCCAACTTTCACAATAAATATCTAATTATCCTCATTTTTCTGACGATGAAGCCAAGTCTCAGATAAAATAATACCTAGCTTACAACACTTAGAGAAATCAGATACTAGTTTTTCCAAGTTTACACAACTAGAATGTGACTCTACCATGGCATATCCTGAATTTATAGCTGGAAGCTCCCTTGTTGAACAAAATCACGTTTTTATGTTCTTTGGGCTGTTATTTTAATATCCTAATTTTGACACTTTCTGCCTTAGTTGTATATATATATTTTTTGCCTCACTGTATTGTAAACATATAAAAGCAGCAACCTTCTCTTCATTATTCTGTATCTTTCTGGTATATGGTATGTGTGCAGTAAATGTTCATTGAATTGAAGTCTCCAGGTATTACAGCAATAATAGTCTAAACTCTGGCTGATAGATGTACTTTGGTTTTTTCAGTTATCAGACTAAATTTTATAATGGCTATTATTCCTTAACAACAGTTATTTAAAGCTGCCAACATTGATTTTTGTACAATAGTCATTTAAAGTCAGTGCTTTATTCCTTACCTGTTAATTGAAACAGAAGGCAAAAGTAACAATAAAACAGAACACTTCATTGGGATTTGAAATAGATTCTTTAATGTTTTGAACCATTAATTTTTTTTAATAAGAGTAGTGCTAATTTGTCTTTATTACCTTACAAAAATGACACAAAAATCAGCCTTTTTTTAAAAAAAAGATAAAGTGAATAATAATTACATGGATAATTGAGAGTTAAGTATTGAAGTACTTATAGCTGTCACATTTATTACCTATAACCTAATATTTTGTGATGGAGATAGAAGAATCCCTTTCAGATAAAATTCTATTCTGCATTTTAACTGTGTCTTTGGAATGTTAACTTGATTTGTCATTTTCTTTTTATTTGTAAAGATACTGTTCCGTGTCTCTTACATTAACCTTAAGAAAGAATAATTTATTTGAAAAGAAATGCAGTAATATCTATAAATTTATTCTGATAGTATTGACATTTTAATCTTATTTCAGGAATTAAAGATTCACCCATATTATAATTTTTTATTTTTGAATAATGCATTTAATTTTACCAAAATTTAGGAAGACAGAGATCAAAAACAATTATATGTAATCCAACATAGAAATAAGTGCTAAATAAAATACCAAATAAAGTAATGTGCTCAGGAAAATAATATGAGAATAATTAATTCTGACTTAGATATCTAGGAAGATACCTGTAAGGAACACTTTAAAGTAGAAACAGAGTTTTTTAGAAACGAAGATGGTAAGAACTCTACCAAGGGAGCAGTCTGAGCAATGACCTGGAATTGGCAATAGTGCATGGTATGTAATCTATTGTAGCTAGAGCCCAGTCTGTCTGGAGGAATACAGTGAGAGATGTTTTAATATAGTTATAAAATTATTTTTCCTTAAAATTATTTTAAAGGAACCACATCCTCCTAGATTATCAGCCGAGGAAGCAATGCAGAAGCAGACCAAAACCGAGACTTCAACCCTAAACCTATTTCAACACCTCCCTGAACTCAAGTCATTTTTTATAGAGGTAATATCCAACTTGGTAATGTCAAAGAGTTTTCTCTGTGAATTCTATACACCTCAGTGTTCCTTTTACTCTTCAATGTAGGGAGTGGATTATAATATTTAATCCAAAGTAGTAAATAATTCTGAATTACCTGTTCTGGACTTTTAAAACAATCTTACTGAAAGCTTTTGTTTGCTACTGAATGGTAGTCTGAACTGTTCCTCTTGGCTTGTTTCTTCTAGTTCACATTTTCCTGGCAAGGAAGAATAAATACTTTTATTTAAATTGCTCTTTCTGACAATTGAGATGATGATAGAGGGAGTGTAAAATAACTCTTAATTATAATGTCTGCTCATGTATAAAATATGGCTTAATACGTCAGATTTTTAATTGCTAATATCAGGAGTAGTCGGGTAAAACAAGATAATTAATGATGTAATTGAAAGATTTCCTTCAAATTTAAATGTTTAAATATACATACTAAATTACTTTGAATAATTCAGAACATGGTTATGAAATGAATTTGGATAGGACAGATAATAATAACTCTTCGCAAAAAAGTTAGTAAGAGTCGTTCAGAGATGTATATAGAAAAAGCAGTAACTCTCATGCAGTACAGCAGAGGTTGGTAAACTTTCTTAAAGGGCCACATAATAGGCTCTGGCTATGTTCTTTGAAATTTACATCTAAAGGAACAGCAGAGTAGTAGAATACAAGAACGTGATAGGTTTCAGAAGTTACAAGTATGCCATTCAAACATGGTATATAATATCTTTCCTACATTTTAAATTAAATATGTTTTAATAGAGTAAAATACTGTACCACAGGGTTCATTCTTATTTACAGAAACAGTTTTCAATAGTTTGTGCCTAATAAAGATAAACAGAATCAGTCACTAAACCTCTCTCCTATATTTTTTAGGGAATTAGTGATGGTATTCCACTAATAAAGGCCATTGTCCCCAAAAATCAGTCTCGTTCTTTTATGTCTCAAGGCAGTCCTGAGTTACTGGTAAGTTCATATACCTTTTGCACATTGTCATATATATATATATCCATTACAATTTACCAAAAAAATGAGAAAATAAAAAAATTTTAAAGCCTTTTAAAAAAAATAAGAGAAAATTTTTATAGAATTTGACCAAGTATAAAAATGTATTTTTCATTTTTTATATAGCTTTTATTTTAAGTAGTTTCTATATTTTTAAAGTTTATCTGGAATAATAAATATGTGAAAATGTGAGAAAATTTGGTATAAGAAAAATAGGGTATAGCATCTTAGGCATTAAAATTTATCATTCAGCAATAATTATGAAAATGAGAAGTAATACAGAATTGATTACAGTTTACTTGCAGCACGTGCTAGTGAGTGCTTTAAATGAATTTTTGTCAACTAGTCCACCTAAATATCCTGTAGGATGAGCAGTATTATTACTTTTCTTCTACAGATGAGAAATTAAAACTCAGAAGTAACTTGCTCAAAGTCACAGAATTAGCAAGTAAGGGATCTGGGACCCTGGCATGTGAACCAAATCTAGGTCTGGCTTACTCCAGTTTTGTCACTTAGGAATTATAAAAATGGAGTACAGCAGAGTGAATAGTAGAGATTCCAAAATTAGACCTGTTTTTCTAATTATGCATATTATATATTTACTCAGAAAAAAAAAGTTTGTAAAAGATACAAAAATAATAATAGTACTTTTTGAGTGGTAGAATTCTTATGATTTTTCAGATTTAATACCTGTATTTTTTTTAAAGGTATTTGATTTTCCTTTTTGGCAATCTCCTACTTTTATAATCATAGGGGAGAAAAACTTTTCTTTCTTTCTTTTTTAAATATATTGTTCTTGATTTCAGAGAGGGAGAGAGAGATAGAAACATCAATGATGAGAGAGAA